CTTCTATTTTTTTTTCAAAAAAATATTAAATTAATAAATAATAATAATAAATTACATATTTTTAATAATAATATCAAATAGATACAATATTTAAAAAACATTTATTAAATAGAAAAATATTGAAGAAACATTACATGCACGTCTAATAACTAAATTTTGGTAATGTAATACCGACTATTTGGGCTGCCACATGTCATGCCTTGGTTTTTTTAAATTTTTTAGTTTTTTCTTTTTACTTTTAAAATATTTAATAACTATTTATTTTAAATTATAAAAAAATACATATTTAAAAAGATTGTATTTTATATGTAGGATCCATTTATATTAATTTTTCTTGTTTTTTGCTTTTTATTCTTTTTATTTTTTTTCTTTTTAAATAAAAAATATTTAATAGATTTTTTTTAAAAATCGATTTTTTGGACCTACTTGAGTACCGTAAAATCAATAATACCATTCTTCTTGCTATTGCGTGCCGTTTCAAGTTTTCTTTATGTATAAATCTTTTTCTTACTTTCTTTTTTTGGGTTTTTTTAACCTTTCCTTTTAAATTATCTTGTGAATGTATTTAAAATTATAAAAAGTATATATTTTTTATAGATTTATTTTTAATGTTTGGGATCTCTTATATCAAACCTTTTTTTTTTTTACTTTTTCTTATTTACTCTTTTTATTTTTTTTCATTTTTAAATTTAAAAAATATTTTTTTAGATTTTATTTTTTTTGTAAGACTTATTTGATATTATGTGACATTTTTTTCAATTTAATAGTTTTTAAAAATATATATTTACGAATGTATCATCGTTATATGTGGATTTTTTTCTTTTTGATGTATAGTTTGACTTAAAATGTGCCACATGGTCCATTCTTGCTTTTTTTACTTTTTCCGTTCTATTTTGTTTTCTGATTTTTTTTCTTTTTATATCTAATTAATTTTTTTAGATATAAAATATTTTTTTTTTAAAGATTTTATTTTTTTTAGATCCATTTATATCAATTTTTTCTTTTTTCCTTTTTACGCTTCTTTTGCTTTTCTTTTTAAAAATATTTAATAAATATTTTTATTTTATTTTTTGAGTGATAATATCAAAGGTCTGACATGTATTTTTTATTTTTTATATATTTAATAAATAATTTTTAGATTTTAATCTTTTTGTGATACCTACGTGATATTAAAGTTATGCCACATGTTACTTTATTTGTTTTTTTTTTTTTTTCACTTTTACTTGTATTATTTCTTTTCTATTTATAACATATGGTATTTTACGAAAACTAATTTTAAGCCTATATTATGCAAAGGCAAACAAATCAATTATATATTTTTAGATATATTATTATTTAAAAAGTAAAGAATTACTTATTAAAAATCAATTTTTTTATTTTAAAAAATAATATATTTATAATTTTGATAAAAAATTATAATTTCATAATAATATATAATGTTAGAACTCTCATTTTGCAATATATGTGGCATATATATATATGTATATATGTTTATGTATATGAAGAGAGATTAATTTACACAAATATAAAACCTTTTAGTTTTATATTTTTTTTAAGCATTGATTTTAATATATATAAAAGATGCCCTTAAATTATTTTTTTTTACTTTTTTTTCTCATCCTTTAGATCTATTAAAATCAATAATAAAAAAAAAGTGTAAAAAGGTGTAAAATTTTTTTTGATGTAACTTAATCATTTCTATGTGTGTGTGTGTGTATATATATATATATATATATATATAATGATAAACATAGAAGAACTTAACCACTTGGTATCTATAAATTAGTAATTTAATATTCATACTTATTTCATCTTTATTATAATTTAATAGATACAATTGAATTATCTAACTTTTTATCTCTAAAAATACAAATAAATTCTCAAAAGAAATTAAAATAAAACAATTGTAATGTATTAAAACAAATACCATATTTATTTGATTAGTGAACTTTTAATCAAAATTAGTATTTGATTGACCTAATTAAGTAAATATTTGAAAATTTTAAGTCAACATACGATTATAAGGAAAAAAATCATTGGAAATGAAAAACAATTACTTATTTTAAGGTTTCATTTTTTTTTCAAAATTAAAAAAGTTGTCCAAAATATATCACAAATGCAATTTTTTATTTACATTTATTAGAGAAATTATAACAATAAAATTTAACAAATTTAATAGAATTTAACTGGATAAGAAAAGGAATTGTTTTGATGCATAATTGACAATATATTTATAGTATGTGCAATTGTATGAATTGAAATATAAAAATTAGAATACAAATATTGTAAAAAAAGAAAGTGCATAATAAAATGTTACATATAAAATTATATTGAATCAATGTTTTTTAATTATTTAATGAAAATAAGAATATCACTTACCTTAAAACCTGTATAACTTATATTTTAATATACCATAAAATTAAAAATAAAGAGTTACTTTCGTCTTTTAACAATTTCTATTAATAATAAATTTTATTTAATTATTTATTATGTATCATGTTGGATATTAAATAGCAAACTTGTCTAAATTATTATTTTTAAAATTTTTAAAATTTTTAAATCATCAAACAATGATGCATATATTAGAAAATATATTTTAACACACAATATATTTCTTATTTAATTATTTTATTCAATAATAACTGAACTAACCATGACCAAATAGTTTATCATGACAAAATTGTTGACAAAAGTATCTATTCATGGTATAAGTAAAAGCAATTAACATCTTAATTTAAAAATTATGCTATTGTACCAAAAAAAATTATGTTGTTAATTCATGCAAAGCAAATTAAATAGAATATATATGATAGAATAAAATCACATATATTAAACGTAAATAAACATGATATTTGAAAAAAACTACAAATAAATGGTAAAATCGTAAAGCAAAAGAAAAAAAATCTATGTTTTTAGCTCTTGTAAAATTTAGAATAATTTAAGTAAATCAATTATAATGAATTATTTAATTATCAGTATGTTTTTAGCTTTTATTCTGAAAATTCTACATTTTATATTTTAAAATTTAAAACTTTTGATTAATAGTAAATTATACCTTCAAATTAAGATTTTTTATATGATAATTAATTATTTGTATTATGATTCCTAAAAAATAACACCTATATAGTATATAGTGAAAAATATGTTTAAAAATAATTAAGGTTTTATTTTTATTTGAATTGTTGATATTAAATGATTTATATATTTATTTACATTGAGTAGTTGGAATGCCAATGCAAAAAGTAGTGGACAATGAAAACCTATTCATATCTCAAAAAGTAGAATCGAATATTGAAAAATGAATATTTTTTACATAAATGTAATTCAAAGTTGAATATTTATAATCGGAAAAGGTCTTAACAAAATTATTCTATATATTAATGATGGCAATTAAACTTTTATTACCTTCTTTATAATTTTAATTGAAAATGATTTAAGACAAATAAAATAAATTGTTTAGTTTAATAAAATGCATTTTATAAAGAACACATGTCAATTTTTTAGATTATCCACATATCGAAAATGTAGATTATCCATATCAAATTATTTCCTTTTTGTTAAAGGTTTAAGCTTTTATATATTTATACAAAATTACTATAAAACTCTTATTAAATTACATATTAAATTAATGACATAAAACTTAACAACATATTAAATTACTATAATAAAAAATAAAAATAAAAATATAATATGATAAATATAAATGTAAAAAAAAAAAATTAAATTATTTTTATTTTGTTTTAAATATTTTTACAAAAATATTTATAAAGTATAATAAATTGAAAATTATACATTTGATCAAATGATTAATAAAAATACAACACTCAAAATATAGTATAGAAATTATAAAAAACTATAATCACAATATATGAAATATTATATATTAATTTTAATACTTTGATAATATTTTTTTATTATTTTTATATTAAAATAATTATAAATATATTCAAAGTCATAAAATATTGCTAAATAATAATAATTTTTGATAAAAAAAAAATAGTTTACCCCATTTAGCTTTTCTAGTTTTTCTTTAGAGTTATCTATGTAAATTTAGATGCAAAACTTTTATACCTTATTATTACATTATGCAAAAATATCATTTAACAAACCATAAAAACAATAAAGCATCTGAAATAGTGGAGTTGAAGGATACTTAGTTTGGTGGCAATATCATTCCTAAAAGAAAATTAAAAAAAAAACAAATATTTAAAGGAAAATTCATCTAATACATTGTTGATAAAATTTTTACAGTCCACCAGTGAAATAAGGGTCTCTACATATCTTTAAAAAATATATTAAAAAATTAGCAAACTAATATAATAATAAAAAACACATGATAATTTTTTAATTTTATTTTTGGAATTTAAAAACTCCAACTATAATGCATGTATGAGACAATAATAAGTTGCATTATTCGTATTTTCTATTCAAAGAATTGAATACAAAATCTTTTTAACAAATTAAAAAAAATTATTGGATTTGTATTTTCAAAATTATAGGAGTATTTTACTTATAATTCTACGATTAATCAATTATGATAAAATATTTTGTAAAAATCTATCACATATAAGTGTTAACTCCATATAATTTTTTATAAGTTTTATATAATATTAAATTATAATTAATTAATTATATTATAATAATTATGAGAAAAAATTATTTAAAATAATTACATCATATTTCTTTCATTCAAATCATATCATATATCATATTATTAAACAAATTAATTATCTATTATTAAATAATTTATTAATTTATTAAAATTAATATTTACTATTTAATCATCACATATAATATTTAATAAATAAATAATTTTTTTAATGATGTAATTATATAACATAATTTAAATAAAAAAATACTAATGTGACATAATTACTTCATATAATACTTTTTTCCACTAACGAAACGTGAATACGTGATATGCTCCGAAAACTACTTTGACGTGAATTTTCGTTCGTCACGTAATCCCAAGTCCCAACCTACACAGTGAAGTGGGCCATTTGCCGACAAGGGAAAGTGTCCGACCACTACACCCAACCAAAAAGCCCATTACCTCCTTCCCACAATAACGGAAGAGTAAAAACACGCGCCAGAGAAACACATACCAGTGACAATGCGTGTCGAGCAAAGGCCAAGGAAATTTCCTTGCTTTGGCCTTTTAGTTTTATATGTTTATTTATTTACTTTAGCGTACTTGTAGTAAGCTGAGTGATCTGTCGTGTCTTCGCATAGCCGAAATTCTACTCATTTATCTGACTCTTTACCCACACTTTACTGGATCTTCCAAAAATCCTTGCTTTATTTTACGTTCTTATATCTCTTAACATTCATCTCCCTCACTTTCTCTTTTACTTTTTGAAGGTGCAGACGTTCTGGGCACTGCTACTTTGAGCTTATTTTGTTGGTAACGGATGGCTGAATGTTTATCGAAATTGTACATCTGAGTCATGTATAGAATGTGAATTTATTTTGTTAGTTAGTTTTAGCCTTTTAGGAAAGGGTACTCTTAGCTTAGTTATATAAGAATTCGTTTTGGCAATTGGTGTGTATTGGAGATCTGGGTTTTCGTTGATTTGGAGATGGGAAGCTCAGAGGAGAAGGTGGTTGCTGTGATCATGGTGGGTGGACCCACTAAAGGTATGGCTTTTATATTCTAAAAATTGTGCAGAGATAAGTTTTTATCGGGAAATTTTTTTACTTGGATATTATGGCTTGCTTGTTATGAAGTTTGTTTGCATTGAATAATGAGGTTCTCTGACTTTGTTCTTTGGTTTCTGCTTACAATTTGAAGTCAAATGAGTGAAGTTCTTTCTTTGTCAATTATTTGTTTGAGATTTCAGATTAGTAGTTTGAATTTTTGGAATGAAAAATGCATTTATTATTTCCTTTTATTTTAATGTGGTCTAGCAGTAACATTTTCGATTTAATAAGAAGGTTTGACATTGAATAACTTTGAATCCTGTCGGAATTTTGCATATTAAAGGCACTCGGTTTCGACCATTATCATTGAACGTTCCGAAGCCTTTGTTTCCTTTGGCCGGACAACCTATGGTTTATCATCCAATTTCTGCTTGTAAAAGGGTACAATGTTTGATCTATACTAATAGAATATAAAAGTGCACTTTTCTTTATAGTTCTGGTATGTATTAAGATCAATGTTTCTGTTGTAGATTTCAAACCTAGCCCAGATCTATCTAGTTGGTTTCTACGAGGAGCGTGAATTTGCTATGTATGTCGCATCAGTCTCTAATGAGCTAAGAGTACCTGTCAGGTAACTTCTTGCTTTTGTGCTCACTTATATATATGAATTCTGGTGAGGGGATTGATACGTCTTTATGATTGCTATATCTTAGTGGTAATCCTTTTTATTTTATGTGCTATTAGGTACTTAAGGGAAGACAAGCCTCATGGTTCAGCTGGTGGGCTTTACAACTTCAGAGATCTGATCATGGAAGACAATCCGGTTTCTATCTTAGCCTATTTCGTTCATAGAGGCATATCCTTTTGTCTTTACACTTTCTTGTGATTTAATACAGCGATATTTGCAGTAATATGCAGACCGTAATTTGCACTGTTTATTCGTACATTGCTTTGACTTACTATTGTGTTGTGTGCTTATTTTGTTGCAGTCTCATATCTTCTTGCTGAATTGTGATGTTTGCTGTAGTTTTCCATTGCCAGAAATGCTTGGTAATCTTCTTTATAATGCATGAACCCTTAATGTATCGATCTCAATTTTCTGATTAGAGTTTCTTAGTGCTATCATGTTATCATGCTCTGTAGTGTTTTTTTGTGTTGCCAAAATCTCTAGTCTCAATACTTTAGGGCTAAAGTATGGTTCACACAGATCAAAAGGCTGGGAGGTTGTTCATTTTGTTTATTTTGTCTTTCAGAGGATTAATTGCTTTTACCTTTTTTTGCATTCAGAGGCTCACAAAAGATTTGGTGGTATGGGAACTATCCTGGTAATCAAGGTTGGTTACCTGACTTGCTAGATGTTTACAATAAGAAAATTTATGTCATGCTGTAACTTACTGGTATGTTCTTGTGAAGTTTGGCCTCATTTTTCTTCTCTTTACAGGTTTCAGCAGAGTCAGCCAATCAGTTTGGGGAGTTGGTAGCAGATCCAGTCACCAATGAACTGTTACATTATACAGAGAAACCTGAAACTTTTGTATGTGCAGTATCAAAGATTAACTACTATTTGGCGAATTCTCTATTTTTTGTTCTTTCTTTGAACATTTCAATTTAATGGGTGCTCCTTTTTATTTAATATCTTGCCATACTGCAGGTAAGTGACCGTATCAATTGCGGTGTCTATGTGTTTACACCAGATATTTTTACTGTCATCCAGGGTGTTTCCTCTCGACGGAAAGACAGAGGTTGGTGATACTAGATCTTTAAATTAAATTTTTGTTTTTAATTTCAAAGTTGCTACATGTTGCAGCTATGTACTCATCTGAAACATAAATTGAATGCACTGGCCTGTACTAGGTGATCATTTCAAAAAATACAGTTTGTTTTCCTTTTGAAACTATGTCATCTTTCCACATCATGAACCAATAGAAAATTTTTTTCCTTGGTAGATATTCCTATAACATCTGAATATCAGTAATATTCATCGTGCTGAAGTCTGAATTAATGTTTTCTACCTGCAGCCAATCTGAGATGTCTCTCCAGTTTTGAAGCCCTCCAGTCAGCTACAAGGTATGTCAATGCTTTTTCTTAATTTTAAGGCATGACAGCAACATTAGGTGCACTCCATTCATCTTCCTCTGTCTTTGTCGTTAGGAATGACACAAGTAATGTTGCACTTATTTTATGTTACTTCAGTTCTACCTCCATTCACATCAACCTATGCAGATGAAATTATCATATGTGGTGTTTTGGCCGTGCAGTTTCTTTTGTTTTCTAGGATATAATATAGCTATATAGGTAAAAATACACAACACTTCACTGTTTTAGTGGGGCTGGAGCTGGAATCTAAATAGAACTGAATAATGCACATATTTTCTCAGGGCTGTTTCGACCCATATTATGATTTTAGGTACCAGGTGAGGCATACTGGGGGCATTACTTTGTATAGGGAAATTTTTAAGAGATCTCTATTTTGAATTTAATTTCTTTAAATTTTTGGTACAATTATCATTAGTCCATTTTGGATCTAGCTGAATCAACGTGCGTATCTCAACATGTATCCTAATACAAGTTCCTGTATCAGGAATACTCCCTCAGATTTTGTGAGGTTGGATCAAGACATCCTGACTCCTTTTGCGGGGAAGAAGCAGTTGTATACATATGAGACCTTGGATTTCTGGGAACAAATTAAAACCCCTGGGTAAGCCAGACTGTTGTAGGGTGCTATTTGTTCTGTGGTTTCAACCTCCTTTTTCTTCCCCTTCTTCATTCTGTTCCCTAGTTTTTGTATTATTTTTTAAATGAATATAGAGAAAAATCAAAATCAAAACATCAAACAAAGCCAAGACTCAAGTGGGAATTGCATAACTAAAATGAAGAAGCCAAGCATAATTTTCCTCTTCAAGTAAACCTGATTTTTCTATGTTAATATCTGCAGAATGTCCCTAAAATGTTCTGCTTTGTATCTAGCACAATTTCGGTTCTCCTCTCCCAATCTTTTGGCCAGTGGGGATGGTACAAAAAGTGCCACCATTATTGGTGATGTTTATATTCATCCATCAGCAAAAGTACATCCAAGTGCTAAGGTAACATCCTTTCTTTACTTCATGTGTGGGCAGAGAAGAGTACAGCTGCTGCTCTAGGTAATTTGTCTAGTATAAAGTTTTTTTTTTTTTTCATATTTGACGCTGCTCGAGATTGAACTTTAGTCAGTGGAACTAACACTCCATTTATTAGGAAGGAAAGAAAGAAAGAGGTAAGGAAGGAAAAAGTTATAATCTAATGGTGGAGCTACGTCACAACATGTGCTATTTTGTAGCTCAACCATTAGATTAAAGCATTTTCCTTTCTTTCCTCTCTATTTCCTTCCTACGAAACGGAGCCTAAGAGTCCAACACACTACCAACAAATCACATGGGTATTGGATAGTATAAAGCTTTCTTTGGTAAATGGAATTGTAAAAAATTTTGGAACTTCAAAGATGTTTTATGTCCCTTCAAGTTCTTGTTGTAGTTCCACATATCAGAACCACTTTAAATGGATGACAAAGTATATGATTGATAGCTGTGCTTGTAGGGAGAAAGAAATGCATCAGAACACATTTCTGATATTTATACACTATTTTGCAATCCTTGAATGCTTTAAAAATAATAATGATAATAATATAACGGCCTAGGTGTTACTCCTTGAGTGTTCTCTTTCTTTAGTGTTGTCTGCGTCATCTATGGGATTGAATAGTGCGCTGCATGGCGAAACAGATTGGTCCCAATGTCTCAATATCTGCCAATGCTCGTATAGGAGCAGGTGTAAGGCTCATTAGCTGTATCATTCTTGATGGTGTTGAAATCATGGTATATATCCAAATTCAATATTTTTAATCAGTCATTTTCTTTGTTTGGATTGATGACTCATGTTTATTCTGTCCTCAGGAAAATGCAGTTGTTTTTCATGCCATTGTCGGGTGGAAGTCTTCCATTGGGAAATGGTCCCGTGTTCAGGCAAGTTTAACTTATGGTTATTTTTACATGATATTGATGACTGAAAGGATGTTGTATTTGTATTAACCAGTTATATGCTACTTTATTGACAACTTTTTTACCTTGATTCACTGATGATGTCTTACTTATTTAAAAACTGTTACATTTGATAATAGTATTAAGTTCAATTAAGGCATCATGATTGAAATACTAGATCTTTTTTATCAACTTCATGAAATAAAAATGAAACTTTTTTTCTCTTTCACTTTTCAACCTGCCATTTTGTGCTAAATTCAATAGACTTGTTGCAGGCTGAAGGAGACTATAACGCCAAACTCGGGATTACAATTCTCGGTATGTTGCAAATGATAAAACTCCGTTATTATTTTGGTTCCTAGTTGCAAGATAAAATGTTACTCAAAACTCTAAATCTGGTATTTTTGCATATTTGTTGCAGGAGAAGCAGTGGCCGTTGAAGATGAAGTAGTGGTCACCAGTAGCATTGTCCTTCCGAACAAGACATTAAATGTCAGTGTTCAAGAAGAAATACTTCTATGATTTCCATCCCATCCATTTCCAATTCGCCACCACCAGGCTCTCTCCTGTATGCCTCTTATCTGCCCTTGTCATATTGTAACGGTTGTTGCTCATTACATTTTTTTTCAAGTAGGAAAATCAGAATATTTCATAAGGTAATTTATTCATATAACTTACATCTTCAAATATATATTATATTATATATATATATATATATATATGGATAGATATATTGAAATGTTAGACAAGTTCATTTTAGAGTGAATTCGAACTGAATTAGGTGATATGCTACTAAACTTAAGCTCAACTCAATTTGAAATTTAAAGTTTAAAGTTCGTCTCAAACTTGATTGAATTTCATTTTTTATGTTTAAATTCAACTTGTAATTTAATTAAACTGTTTGAACATAACTCGATAATTCATGTAAAGTTATAAATATTGATGTGAACAGTATATTTTTATTATTTACTTGTATATATAATAAATATATTAAAAAATAAAAACTTAATTAAATTTACAAGTCTCTAAATTGTATATATATTAAATATGTTAAAAAAATAAAAAACTTGATTAAATTTGTGAATCTCTCAATTGCATATTAAACTATTCAAATTTGTTTTGATTTGTTATACGAATAATTTAAACTTGAATTTAATTTGATAATTAATGAATCAAATTTAAATATTTTAAAATCAAACTTGAATAGCTCATAAGTTTGTTTACATTCCTAATTCTTACTAAAAGGTGAGCTTTTTTATGGACACAAATAATTTGTGTGAGAATTAAGGTGGAAGAAACTTGTTCAGATCTGACGATTCTCATGTTCTGAGAGCACTCATTCATGTTAGTAGGAAAAGCTGAAAATTTTAAGAGAATGAAGAAAGATCTCTTGCAATGCACTCATCAGCTCTTCCCGTCAGTACATGACAATCTAGTGATGTAATTCCTTATTCTTGGCACAACTGGAAAATTAGAGGAAAAAAAAAAAACACAAATTTATCTGATCAACTGTAGCAGAATTGGAAACGACACAAATGCACCGATTTTTTTATTTTGCTTGATAAAAAAGATTTAAAAAAAAAAAGATGAAAATGAAAATTTTTATAATTTAATGATTAAATTATAAAATAGAAAAATAATTATGAATTTTAACTACTAAAATAACAAATTTTTTATTCTCACGATTTTTATCATTTCTATCAAGCAAAGCTTTTTAATTGCGTACAAGTGTTGTCACTCAAAGTTCGTAGAAAGAGAGAATGATACGTACAAGAGTTAATCTCTTCTATGTAAAAGGAAAAGGTAAAAATTGGGGAAAAGAGAAGGGAGATAGATGAGGTTAGGAAATGAATGGCTTCCAATTGCCTATAGTCTTTGAGCAGTCCAAACGAGAAAGGCAAGTGGCGAAAGCATTATGAAAGTTGTTGTATCGGCTTCTTGCCAGCAACTTCCGTGTACCATGATTTCCAAGCTTCCATGTAATGAGAAAAGAGGTCCTTTAAAGCTGCAATACGTCGGCAAAATGAGATTTGTATTACAAGAGCATTAATTCTAGTAAGCACTGCCAAACTAGGTAGCAATGTGCATAATCAGCGAAGCAGTACCTAAGAAAATGCTCACAGCCAAAAAGGAAACAAGTCTATCATCTAACTAGCTAAAGAGGCAGAAAGACAAAGGGTTAAAATAACATAAAAATTATTGAATTTTATCACTTTATTTAAATAAATTTTTATATTTTTATTGCATTCAAATAAATTTTTAAATTTTAATTTACGTTCAAATTAAAAGCATTTAACTTTTAATTTATATCCACATAAAATTTTAATTTTTAATTTATATTTAAACAAATCCTTAATATAAATCAATCTTTTAATAAAAATAAAATTTTATTTAAATATAAATTAAAAATAAAAATTTATTTAAAAAATAAAATAACTCGAGAACTTTTTTCATATTTTTGATAAACTGTGAAAAATGCTAAAAAGACCAAAGGTACAGAGCAGCTGGCCAGATGAAATGTTACATCACAGGAAGCTTGTATTTTAAATTTTTTATTCACCACAGTTCTATGTGAAATGATCCAAGATTAACTCATAAAAATGGAATGGAATTGCCATGAGTCTCGATAATAGAGCTCATCTAACAGGAAACGTATAGAAACCCTATTCTTTTTCTTGTTTTCCTTTTAGTACACTTATGAGCATTAAACAATATTTTAGCAAATTAACATGTGATGTTCACATTTGTAAATCTTTAAAATATGTACAAGCAACTTACTCAGTTACTATTACTGTTTATGCTGACCAATTTTTCAGCGCATTAGGAATGAAACAAAAGCAATTGTACAATCAAAATATTAAACTTGTATAACAGAGAATTAAACTATACCTTACCTTGATTGTGATATTGAGGACGGTAAGTGGAAGCAAAACTCTCCCAATCATTAACCCGTTTCATATTATTCCCGGAGTTACTGGCTTTGGTCAAGTTTACAGGAGCAAAAGGACCGAATTGATAGCTCTTCGAACTTTGTCTTGAATTCTCCAAGCTGCTTGTATCAGCCAGAGTCACCAAATTTTCAACTTTTATTTGCTTTTTCATCTTTGCGCATTGATTGGCATTCGAATCATTTGAAGAATCAACCTTATTTTTCTTGAAACCAATGTTTGTAACATCAGTTCCAAACACCCTTTTCTTGGACTCATTAAGATCCAAGGGATCAGCAGGTTCCTTGTCTGATTTCCCTCTCAGCCCCAACCACTTAAATGCAGGTTTCCGGGTATCTACAGTATGGGTCTGCACAAATTTCTTTTAAAATTAAGAGCTTTAAAGCATTGTAACTTAAATCTGTAACAATAACAATTTCAAGGCCGCAGAGATCAAAGTTAAAGAAGTTCTAATCCCTCATTAGTTTTCTCAATGATCTATTTACCTTCTCAATAAGATTCATGGAAGACAACACATTTGCAATGTCATATAGCCTCCTTACTTTTGCTGTTGAATCATCAAATGAAAAACACACCACTCAATCAGCTAATCCCTTTGTAATTATTTCTCAATTGAGGATGAGGTGGGAAAAGTTTAGATTTATTACTTCTCATTATTGAGGCATTGTGAGCATTACCAAGCAATAACCTCGCTGCTTCATCAAGGGAGATCAACTCAGCCTGAAAAGCAGTTGTTCAGAAACAACAAATGATGATCAAAACAAAGAAATCCAATGCAATTCATGGGAAGCAAGAACTAGGCTCACATTAGAGCAGACAAATAACTTGACGAAATTCTGAGTAAGGAGTCCCAGGGATTTTTCCCTTCGGTTATCTGCAAACATAAGAGATGGCCTATGAAATGTCATTAACAGTTGCCTATTAAAATTTCATTAAATATCACTAAATCACCCAAAAGACAATGACTCGTTTGCACGTCAAATCAGAGCAAGCCATTGCTATTTTGCACATTAATAAAACATCAAGATCTTATGGCAATTACAACAAATAAAATTATTGTAATTCAAACATGAAATTTACCAACTTTCGACGATGCACAAGACTGAAGAACAGTGCTAGGTTTTGAAGTCTCAGTCTGACTTCCAGTGTTAGGGTTGGAAAATCCTTCATCATTTTCATCATCATCATCATCACCATCACCATCAGTGACCTAAGACAATTTGAAACATAAAGTTTTTCTTTAAGAAAAAATAAAAGAAAATGAAATACTCTGATAGAAAAAGAACTGTTAAAAACTAATCTACTTACCTTTGCATTATTATTGGCATCAACGTTTTTGAAGTTACTACTGAAACCTTCTTCCTGCCATAACATGAAATGACAGAAGATATCAGCAAATTTCCCCTTCAATCTTCAACCATCTTTTAAAACAGTAAACTTAGGGTAGCATAATTATCATGTAATTAATAAATTAATAAATTCAGCTCTGTTAACAAAAATAAAATAATTTAATTCAATTTTAAATAACTGGATTTAAAATTAATCAAACTAAACAAATGAAACTAAACCAAACAATAAAAAGAAAAAAACAAGCTTTGAATTTACCTTAAGATCTTGTAAAGCCTTAGGAATTGCCCCAAAACCTTTCCATGTATATTTATTCTTAGCTTTTCTTGTAAGAACCTAAATATCAATCAAACAAAAGGGCCCCCCAAAAAAAATTCATTTACACAAAAATCATAAACTAAGTATAAAAAAGGAAAGAAAAGAAAAGAAAATTACCCCAACACTTTCCAAAACATTGACAATGTCATAGATCCGCCGTCTCTCAACTCCTGAAAATATCCCAAAACGCAAATCAGATCTACAAAAATTAAAAAAAAAAAAACGTAAAATCATAGGTAAATCTTTAAAAAATAAGAACCTAATTTTGCTGCGGCTTCATCAAGACCAATCAATTCAACGCCGTCCTTATTATACATGCTCAGGAAACTGCAAAGTAAAAATTAAAAAGGAAAAGTAAATCTTAGAATTGACAAAACAATATTTTAAAGTGAGATAGCGGGGATAGAGATTTACTTGGAACAAAGGAGGCCGAGGGATTTCTGCTTGCGGCTATACGAGTAATGACGAGCGGAAGATTCGGGAAGAGACGAAGAAGCAGATAGCGGCATGTTTACGAGGGAGGGATGGGAAGCATTGAAGGATGTGGAGGGTGGAGGGGCCTTAAAAAAAGGGGAGTGAAAGTTAGTTATGGGTTTGGGGGCGTTGGATTGGCGGGGTGATATTTTTTGAAAGAGAGGGAGGAAGGGGAGGGTTTTGGTTTCGGAATTGGAGGGATAGGAATTTAAAACATTTGAAATAGGGACTTGGGTGAGCGGTAATTTGAAATCAGTTATAACGTCTATGATAACAATAACATTAGACGCTCCACGATGAGAATAAATGAGCTTTTTTCCAAACTAAGCTAGTATTAAATTTTAATTTCCTAATAGGGGTACTTTTATTTTTATTTTTAAAATCAGGCTCATCTCTTAACTTATCTCTCTCCTAGTTTTCTTTTATATTCCGAGAGAAACAAATAACAACTGATCACCATTTTCCCTCATTCATCTTCTTTCAATCTCCACTTCTAAAATTTGCATACTCATTTAACACCCAAAGCTACCCTTTCACTTTTTCTTCCTCTAAAATCAACAATTTTATAATAATATAAACATAGTTCTAAGTTTATAGTTCACATAACGTTGGGAAACCAAAACGAAAACAAACTTTCATTGTTCAACAAAGACGTAAGTGTCGACACCGGAGATTGTCAGTGGCTCCAGCATTGACTCTACCAGCATTCAAAAAACACCACTTGTTTCTCTAATAAGATAATAACTTTAAATTCTGATTGCTAAGGTTTTGTTTGATTGGTACATATTTTTGCTATTTGTGAAGATTGTTATTGAAATAATGTTCAACTGTGTATCGTATGCCTTTTCTTTTTTTGCTAAGATAAATAATTATTGTCAACATCACATAAACATCTAATTGGAATCTATTTATGCTGAGTTCTAACGTAGGAGTATTCTTAAAAGAATAGAAGATTAGAAGAGAGTAGTTAAAGGCAAAGACAAAAATATTACTTGTGCTTGTACTCTAATATGCAAGTCAAAATAGAAAAGGTTGGAATGAAAGAAAAATAAAGGGTTAAAACTAGATGGGACTTGCCTTGATGATACCTAGATGTTTATATTTATAAATGAGAGATAGGAAACCAATGAGGAACAATAATAACGTGGTCGAACTAATGCGGTACTAAGTGTATTAGGCTAACATGATATATTAGATCGACACAAATGTTTGAATTACCCTTGATTGTCTGCTAGGGGCTCCTAGTTGGGGAAAATGCCAATATGCCATTTTGGCCACTAAATATCCTTAATATTTTATCTTTCTACCAAGTAGTTTGAGTTGGGTGTGCGATTAACATATTTCATGCAAGCCAAATAGGTGAAGGGGGATGACGTGAGATTCAATCCCTTGTAGCCGATGTCAATGTGGAGGTTGGCATTAAGTGATAGTTAGCCTTGAATAATGGTCTAACCTGTAAGGGTTTCGATCCCATACATATGTTTTGAGTTACATGCATAACCAGCTTGAAAGTTATCGAAGTGTCATTTATTTGGGATGATCCGAGATTGGGATGAAAGTTCATCTAGTCGAAGTGAGACTAAGACATTTTCTCTAGAAGTTTAAATTTGGATCATTGTTTTGGATTTTGCTGGTGAACTAAACGTTGGTTTGTCAAGCTTATTTGAGCTGGAGAATCCATCCAGTTTGATCGATTTGACCTATGGAGTCATCCTGTCTGGCTAATCTAGTAGCATTAAATGAGGAGAAAGGTAGTTTATGAGGCAAAATCTAGAATGAGGAAGATGAATGGACATCTTTCAACAATACTCTGATATGTGTCGTAACCTGGGCCATTCATATGATTTGAGGTACAATTATATATAGGGCTATTAGGGCTTATATTTTTCACCTTTCTGTTTTCATTGCTCTCAATTCGATCTAAGTTTTTTTGACCTTCAAAGCTTTTCTTCTTTCTGGCCTTACTATCATTCTTTTTTTCATCTGTTCTCTCGATTTTCTTTGGTATGTTTGCTCTATCATGTTTTTTAGTTTTAATTTTGAGGAGGTCGGGTGTTTCAGGGTAGAACTTAAAAGAGATCAGCTCGAAAAAACGAAAATGACCTAGTTCCACCAGTAATTAAAAGTTGGGACTATCAGAATATGGCCTATTAGCTTAACCCATATCCAAGGAAGGGTAGCAACAAAATGATGAGAATGCTTAGGCAAGAAAAGAATGGGTCTTGAGCACAGAAAAGCTATATGCTCAGATAAATTTTGATTTAAAGAATCAACCTCAACCTTATTGTATTGTCTCTTAGGTTTGTCCATTTTCTATGGTTGATCTTCTTTCATCTTTAGTTGTTTTCTTTTTTTAGGTGTAGTCTCATCAACTTTCCTTTATTTTTTTTGCTCTTCCTTCTATAAATACTCTCGTTGTCACTTTCATTCCTCATCGATCAACTCTTATTGGAATCACATTTTCTCTCAAGAGGTCTCCTCCTTGTCTTTTTCCCTTAAGGTCGTGTTGCTCTCAATCACTGTTCTATTTCAGAATCATTCTCCTGCTTATGAGTTAAAATTTTTTAATGGTGAATAGTCTGAAGATAAAAAGGTTATGATGAAAAACATGAAGAAAGGGGTGCCCAAACTAGGGGAAATGATAGTGAGAAAGAGAGTTCTTCGGAGCATGATGAGTTGGCTAAAGTTCATATATATACTCCTTATAACCTTGGTATGATCTTTAAGGATATGATGAGGGAACCAAAAAGGTAGGGCTAATCCTGAAGACTTTTCTAATATGTGTTTAGCTAATCACAATCGTGGTCTGGTGACTAACTTTCATTTTTTCAAGGAAAGGTATAAGATATTAATGTTGAACTCCTCAAATTAGGTAACAGATAAACTAGAATCATGTCGGCTCTGGGTGTATTAGGATTTATTTGTGGTCGGTCTAAATTTTCTACTTCACCCTCTATTTGTTTCAATTTTAATTCTTACAATTTAACCATCATTTAGCTCACCTCAAACTCTATACGATACATAGTAGGTTTTATTATTCTTTGTCAATACTTAGATATTCTTTCCTTCTATTTAAAAAATTTTTTTCATTAAAAGGTAACCCAATGATAGCATGTGGTACTACATAATAGCTTAGCCCAATAAAAAATTATTTGTTGATTATGCAAGCTTCCTAAAAAATTGAAAGTTGCTTTTCCTTTACCTTGAAAAACAAAAACAAGATAAAATGCTGAAATCGATACCGAGGTTGAGGTTGAGGTTAGGGTAAAGGCATGAGAGATAATAAATGAGTCCAGTTGTTTTGTAAATGTGCCTATTGCTCTCTTCGTCTTGAACATAATAGATTGGGATAAAATAATGAAGTATACCTGTATGGGGAGATTGTTATATATATATATATATATATATTTACGAGTTGACTTCCCTAAAACAATAAATGAGTCACAATACTAGGGTAGTGTGAGGTAACCTCATATGATTTTTATTTTTACCTAATTTTTATCTAACTTTTAGCTTAAATTTATGGATATGTTTTTCAATAAGGACTTTAACTTCTTTCAGTTTCAACATGAGCCTTAGCCTAAAAAGGCCTAAAGCAAAAAGATCCAGCTTGAAGCCTTTTTTCGTTGGGGGAATAAGGTGAACAACCCCATAATGGGTAAGCTATCGAGCTCCTTAGCTTAGCACTCTCTATCCATAAGAAAATAAAATACTAAGGCTAATCAAAAGCCTTCTTTGGTTACTACTCTACCTACTAAGAAGTTAAGGATCAAGGCCTTTTAAAGAATCCAAAATCTAGGGCATTAGGGTCTAGCTCAGAAAGGGTTTGCATAAGGTTGGAGTATACCTTGGTTGATAACCCCTTATAGAACTCTAGGGTAACCAAAAGGTTATGCAAATTCATGATTCCTCATAGCAATAAGTGTTGTTCAACTTTAGTTCGATCGATCATTATTCTATTTTTCATTTCGCTAAGTCTGAGTTTGTCTTTCAAAAACTCCCATTGCACCTGTGGACAATACCACCCAAGCCCTCCATCACGTATATTAGCCATGGCCCACCTATTTAAAAGTCGAGAAAGATATAATCATCTTGAATGAGAAGCATCAGAAAAAGCTTGGATGCTTTAGGCAATGTGAGTCTAGCCTCAATGCCTCTCATAAAAAAGAAGTTGAGCAAAGAAAAATAATTAATGAGCTAACAACCAAGCTAGAGGCCATCCACATTGAAAGTGCATTAGTGGATTATATGGGGAAGTAGGTCGAATTAAAACTTGGTGATGCTCAAACTGAGATAGTGAAGCTGAGGTCAGAGTTGGAGGCTAAGGAGAATGAAAATGAAGAACAGAAAACTATTGAGGACTTTAAGACCTCAAGTGAATTCTTCAAGCTCTAAGTGGAGTTCTTCAAGGACAACGTGCTCGAGGCCTTTGAGTTGGCTAAGGATGAGGTGCAGGTCAAATTTGTCAACCCTAACCTTGACTTCTCTGATATTGACATCAACAATATCATATCAAAGCTTCCTCTAACTCAATTCACGGAGGAAGAGAGAGAGAAGAAGAAGATGGAGCATTGGATGTCGAGCTTGAGGTCACTTTGGGGGTCGAGGCTAAGAGGGTGAGGCTGAGGGTGCACACTGATATTGGTGGTGCTTCTATTACTGATGATGCAAGTTCCACTACTATTATTGTCAATGTTATTAATGCTTAGCTTTTTTTCCTTTTTATTAACTTTTATAAATTTTTATGGATTTTTGTTTAGAAGTGCTGATGTGTCAGGTCAGTTTTTGTTGTGACCTTTAATAAAAATCATTCAATGATAATTTTTTTGTACTGACCTGATCATTCAATGAAGAATTGAATATATTTTGTTCAAGTTTCAGTTTGATTTTACTTTTGGATTGATAAAAAAAATCATAAATAAAAACATTCAAGCCAAAAAGGAGAACCCAATTTACAAAAAAAAAAAAACCTAAGAAAAATATAAACCTGTAAAAGTTTTTAAAAAAAATCAAAAGATTAAAAAATGGAGCTTTGAACTCTGCCTTCTATCAATTCATAGTTAGCTAAAATTAGCTCATACGTGTTTATATCATAAAACACACCTCTAGAACCTTGCATATTTAAGATTTGACAGAACAAAATTAGAGAAATTTTTAAAAATGTGTTCATAATAAACAGAGCATGAAAAGTTCAGAACAAAGGCAAAATTTTTACCAACCTTGAATTTTCATAACAAGATAAAGTTTTATTTGAATTAGAAATTACATTAGAACTTTTATTTTAAGAATAATTTTTTTTAAAATTTTAGGATGAACTGAGGAGAAAGAAAAAAGAAAATAGATCCAAGGTATTGAAAAGAAAGAGAAAGAATGAGAATAGAGAATAATTTAGCAAAATAAAAAACATAAAAAAATATTAAAATAAGATTTTTAAAATTAAAAAAATTACACATCATATTCATTTGTCAATTTTTTAGATTTAATTGTGCATGTATTTCACCTCACTAATTTTGTTTAAAAAAGTTGAATATTGTCACAAATAAAAAATATTTTAATCTTAATTTGAATAAAATAAAAACATTTAATTCTAAATTCAATAACCATCCAAACGAATTTTAAATTGAGCATTTAGTCCATTGGTTAAGATGGAATACTCTATATTTATACAAAAACCCATCTAATTCCAACCTAATTTCAATTTCTAGAAAATGTTTGCTTTATTATATTGAAATAAGTTTAAATATTTTATCATTCTACGGCCCAACTCACGTCTTTCAAGTATTGCATGCTATTATCACCCTGTCGGTTCATTTGCTTGGCATGCTACTTAAAAAGTTTAAAATACGAGGCATTTTGGAAAAATTAAAAAATTGGTATGGCATTTTTTATTCCATTTCAAAGGCAGATGTGGCAGGAAAAACAATTTGTTTTTTGGTGCATCCTATGCGTGTACATAGGCTTTCCCTTGTCTAATCTAGTAATCTACCCCTTTAGTAGAGTTTTTATGTTTCGTCACTTAGTGCACGATAATACATCACGATCATGAAAATGACACATCGATACTACATTTTGGTGGGAGCTCTCCTTTTGCAATGTAATCTGTATTTTTTTAGTTGGAACGATCATAAAAGTTAGATTTTCAGATTCCCGCACATTTAAATAAAACCTAAAAATTAACATAAATATGATGTTCATCTCGACAAGAAATTTTTGGATTTTACGTAGAAAACTTACTGAGATATATAAATATTTGGGTGTTCCTCTAGATACTAAGAGAAGCTAATTGACAAAAATTGCTCCCTTTAATTAGTGGAGAAGATAATTGCAAGGATTAATAGCTAAGGTTCCAAGAGCATTTGTCTTTTGTTAGTAGGTTGCAGCTGATTCAATTTGTGCTTTTCAGTTTGCAACACCTCGGTACACTATTTTCTGGCTTCCCCAAAAAAAAAAAAAGAGAAACGTGGTCACTTCGGAGAGTTACTCAACTTTGTTCTGCCTTTCGTTGAAAAGAAAGGGGGATGATGCTTGGTAGGCTAGGGTTAGTTGGGATTGTATTTGCCACACCAAAGTAGGAGGAGGGCCTATGACTTAGAAGCATCTCTGTTTGGATGCTTTTCACTTAAGCTGGATCCGTATGGGTGGCTTGGTTAAAGTTTATCTCTTTAAGGATCATACAAGAAACTTTTCAAGCTTAGGGATCTTGCTTTGCTTGCTACTTCTTTCGTTCGAATTTATTGATAATTAATCTGAGTGGTTGATCTCCATGTGAAGTAAATTCGATACTTCTTATACATGTAATTTCGTTAGGCACAAGCAATCTATGCTGCACCGGCCATAGGTTTGGTTTCAGCATGATATAACCAGTATAAGTAATCTCACATGCCTAACAAAATCACTAACTAAATAAAATATGTCCATAGCAACCGAGTGTTGGAGACTAATTAATCCAATGGGAACCCTCTAATTTCCCCCTCTAATCTAATATAATCTCAAATTCTGCTCACATCATGTCCCTAATCCTAACCTCTAAAAATTTTAGACACCATATTAAATGTAATGACGGTAAAAAGATCGATGACCCAAACAACAACCATAGGCAGGCCCCATTCCATAGGCCATAGCACCCCCCCCCTCCCCAAAAAAAGGCTACTATCAGAAATAAAAAATGAAAAGCAAAAATGGTGAAGTGGCCTAGCCGTGCCGGCAGGTTTGTAACGCCAAAGTCAAGGTCAACTGATCAAATAGCACGATGACCAAAAAAAAAAAGAAACAGAGAGATTAATGATGGATATTAAAGTTTCAGAAAATCCTAGTCATAATATACCATACAGATCTCAAATACAACAAACCCTGCGGCCTTTATATTTTTTTACATTAAAACAAAGCAATAAAGGAATGAGTCATGATGGTGAGTAAGATGAAGAATACAAACAACAAAAGATAATAAACAAAGCTTCAACATGGTATATGATCTATTTATGTCCGGTGGTAGAGAAGAGAATCCTAGTGCTTCTGGGTAGTTTTCTGATACTTGTCTTTGATCCATTGAATTCCCAAAGAGGTTCCTTCTTTGACCTTCTTCACCCCAGTTGAAGCCACCGCTTTTGTCTTTCCAAGCCCTTCTCCTAACTTCTGCTTGTACTTTGCGCTTGTGCCACCGTTGCTGCTCTTCTTCTTATTCACAGTGCTGGCTGCAGGGGGTGCGTCGTTGTAGTCCCATTGGTCTGCCCATGATGTACCGTACGAGTTGTTGTTTCCTTCCATTTCTTTTCTTTGCTTTTTCTATTGACAAAAATTGAAACGGTGTTCAGTTCTCAGCAGAGGATTGCTTGGTGGAGGAGATGAAGGGTATTCAGAAGAAAGGGGGGAACGAGAAATTTGTTGATCAGTTCGTAAGGTAAGAAATTGCGGGCGTGATTCTGAAGTTAATTTTCATTACCCTGCGCCTATTTTATAGGCCTTAACGAAATCAGGTTGGTCCAACTAAGGAAAACCGGAGCGTGTTGAAAAATGCGACCCAGCTTTTTATTTAACAAATGTGAATGGAACATGGGTTCTCCTTTATGAAAGGACAACAATGCCCTCTCCCCTTTTTATAAGTATTTTTGTCTAAAAAAATAAATAGAATGATAATTATGTTAATCATATGACGTGTAAAATTTAAAATGATACTAATGTTAATTGTCTTATATGTGTAATATGTATAATAAAAATATTTGTGTTCATATTTAAAATTTTATGCGTTAAACTAATCGTATTTTGTTTTTTTATTCGTTTAATTTTTAATATTTTATCATGATTATATTATAAAAATATAAATTATTAATTTAACTAGATTTAATTCAATCTATAAATATTTTATGTCCTCGGTCCCAATGGCCAATATGATACCTTAATGGTTAAAAAATTAAGTGGATCCTAAATTTAAAATATATAAATAGAAAAAATTGAAATTATAGAATGAGTCAATGAGAATAAAAAATTATTATTTAATTGAAATCCAATACATTCTTAACATATTACTTTTAAGGACGAGGATCCTAATAATAATAATAATAATAATAATAATAATAATAATAATAATAATAATTTATAACATGTATTTATTTTTCAAGTTAAAAATAAATAAAAAATTTATTTGAAATAAAACGGAAAAAACAACGAAAATAAATTCAAACAAGATTTGAATTTTTTCCAAAAATATATATCTTCCAAACAAATTAATTCTTTGAAAAGAACGAGACCAACCAAAAAAGTAAATTTGAAAAAAAAAAATTTGGACTTTTTATTTCGTATTTTTTCCAAAAAAAAATGGAATAAGATATATTTTAAAAAATCAGATTTTTTCAAAAAATTATATCTTCCAAAAATAAATTAAAAAACACCTTGAAGTAGGTAAAATAATAATAAAAAAGCTTCTACACTTCATAATTTTATTTAAATGAATCCTTATGCTTTTATTGCATCAAAATAATCATAACATTTAATTTACACCCAAACAAACCCTTAGCTTTTAATTTATATCAAAGTAAACTTTTAATATTTAATTTGTACGTAAATAAGCTTTTAATATAACAATATTTTATTTGAAATAAGTGTTTATTAGAATACAAATTAAAAAATAAAAATTTGTTTGGATATAATAGAAGCATATAATAAGGTAGAGTGGGAGTTTATCGAAGACTTTATGGGAAAATAAGGTTTTACGGAAAGATAGATGTCGATTGTAATGCACTGTGTGACAATTGTCAGGTATAATGTGGTTGTTAATGGCTGTAAGACTGACATTATATTTCTAGAAAGGGGCCTTCGACAGGGGATCTCTTATCACCGTATTTGTTCTTAATATGTACAGAAGGTTTATTGGCGCTCCTAGCCAAGTTCCAGAGGGAAGGTATAGTGCGGGGAGTTCGAGCTGAATGGACCTAGGATCACTCATTTATTTTTTTGCAGATAATAGTTTGCTGTTTATAAATGCAAATCAAATGGAGTGTTAAAGGGTGTGACACTTGCTAAAGATTTATGAAGAAGGTTTGAGGCAGAAAATCAATTATAACAAATCATGATTGTTTTTCAGCAAAAATTCTAGTAAAGACAAGCAGGAGATAGTTAAGAACATATTTGGGATCCAGGTCACAAATAGCCTAGAGAAATATCTTGGACTACCAATAATAATTGGGAAAGGGAAGAAGAAAGCATTTAGAGGAATCATGAACAAGATGAGGCAAAGGGTACAAAGCTGGAGTCAGAAGCGGATATCTGATGGAGGCAAAGAAGTTTTCATTAAACAGTGTTGCAATCAATGTCAGCATATATCATGTCATTCTTCATGTTTCCAAAAGGGCTATGCCAACAACTAAATATGATAATGAGTAGGTATTGGTGCCGTTGAGGCAGGGAAAGGAAAGGAATACACTGGTTGCCTTGGAGGAAAATGTGTATAGGAAAGTGGGCTGGTGGTATGGGGTTTAGGGATATGGAGCACTTCAACAAGGCCTTATTAGTCAAGTATGGTTGGCGATTATTACATAATACATCAGCATTGGCGTATAAGGTGCTTAAAGAAAAGTACTTCCCTAAGATCTCATTTTTTGAAGCAAGCGTGGGTCGGTCTTTGTCTTATATATGGAGAAGTATTGGCATGGGGAGAAAACTGTTACGACATGGAGTAAGATGAAGAGTAGGAAGCGGGGTTCAGATTAAAATATGGGGTGAGCCATGGATACCGAGGGAAGGTAGCTTTGTCCCAATTCCAAAAGAAAATGCCAAACCAGTGGAAACCAAGGTAAGCGAGTGGGACCACCAAGCAATGGAATGTCAACAATCTGGAGAACATTTTCCCAAGGGACACTGTTACAGATATCATAGCGATACCATTCACGAGTGTTGAAGCCCATGACGAGTAGATATGGCATTACGATGAGGACAGCAAGTATAGTGTAAAGAGCAGTTATCAGCTTCTAATATCAGAGGAGTAGTTGTGGCAGACAAGCCACGAAGCTAGAAGCAAAAAAAAAATAGTGAGTATGGATCAGAACTATGGAGTAAGCTATGGAAGACTAACCTCCCTAACAAAATTAGAGTTTTTGCATGGAGAATGAGCCATGGGATTCTATCGGTGTATGCTAATCTAAAGGAAAAAAAGTTACTGGAGTCAGCGACATGTGCGAGATGCACTCAAGTAGAAGAAATGGTCCTGCATGCAATAACTGCAGGCCCACATGCGGCTAAGGTGTGGAGAGAAGCAAGACTGAATACGACTGTGGAGGGCAACAGTTGCGGAAAGTAAGAAATTGGATGATCTCAACGGTAAAGAGCGTCGATACAGAAAAGGTGGAAAGGATCATAACACTATCCTGGGCAATATGCACCAGCAGAAATGATGCAGTAATAAACAATGTGCAGAGGACATTCCAGGACACTTCCAACTTGTAAATATCTAAAGGTATACCAGCAGGTACAAGAACGAAATGATAAGCCGGTTCCGAAGCAACATGCAACATGGCAAGCACCCTCAGAGAATGCCATACAGCTAAATTTTGATGGTGCACTTGACACAGGTAAGAGTCTCGAAGGCATAGGTGTGGTGGCCATTAATTATACTGGGGACATGACGGGTTCCATGCGCAAGCAAATAAGAGGGTGCAGGGATCCTACAACGATCGAGGCACTGGCAGCAGTCGAGGTAGTGAAGTTTGCACCTGAATTAGGCTTCCAAATCGAAGGGGATGCATTGGGGATTATGCAACAGTCAGGTAGAAGGATAAAAACTTGTCTTCAATAGGTAACTTGATTAACGAAATCCAATTAAGGTTGACTACTTTTGTTGAATGGAAAGGCAAGCATGTAAAGCGTGAGGCAAATGTGGCTTCCCACCTTTTAGCATAAATGGCTTTAAGATACAATGAGGTGACTTATTGGGTAGAGGAATGTCTAGATATAATCAGTATAAGTGTTGAACAAGACAATCCCTACATATGAGTAATGAAGCTTATTCTATTCAAATAAATAAATAAAAGTATAAGGTTTTATTTACGAAAAGTAAAATAATTAGGGAGCTTTTTTAATATTTTAGCCATTGAATTAATAAAGTAAATTAGAGATGGAAAAAAAAGTGAGGATAATTTTTTTTGTTTACAAAATGCTTATGTAAAATAATTTAAATAAATAAATATGAATAATTATCATATAAATTGTGATATTTAATAATAAAAATTTAATAATTATAAAAAAATTTATTTTTTGCATAAATAAAATCGTAACTTAAGATAAGAGAAGAGGTTATAGTTACTAAAATTTGAATTCTATAATTACTTGATGCTATTAATAATTGTCATTATATGAATTAACTGAATTAAGTTTTGAATTTGAAGGAACTTGATTTTTTAAATTATATTTTAATGATGATTTTATTTGATAATTATATTTTTATCATTAAAAGAATTTGATAATATAAAAATTAATATATTTTAATGGCATCAATAAAACTATACATTAAGTTATAAAATAAAATATAAATATCTTTTAATTTATACATAGAAAGTACGCTTAATATACAATTGTATTATGTAATTTGTAAATAATTATTTATATATTTATTTTCATAATTAACAAGATATAATTATATTAATATTAAAATATAGAAAATAAAATTATTAAAATAAATCATTATTGTTTAATATTATTTAATTTAAAATTAATTTTTAATGTTAATTTAATTAAAAATTTATAAATATTTAAAAAGAAATATCTAATAAATCTTATAATTTTAAATATTATAAAAAATACGATAAAAAAAAACATCAAAGTGATATAATTTAAATATAAATTTAATAAAAAATATATTTCATATTTAACTTATTAACATAAATTATAATATGATAATTTTATATTTTATATATTTAATGCGAATTATATAAATATATAAAATAAATGGACTAATCGGGGACTACTGGTTTCAGTAATTCAAAACCCAAAGTCTCCGATCCAAACATCACTTGGAAGGTGGATAAAGGAATTTTCTTTTTGGAAAAGCATGAAGGGCAGTGTGGTAAATATAGCTAACAACTCCAAGGAAAAAAATGAAAAAGAAGGAAGGACAGAGCCGCGTACTTGTTATACATCTTCTGGAATTATCCAGATAAAAAAGGATTATTGGACTTGGGAGATTTGACCGTAACCTCACTCACGGTCACGCACGCATCATCGACCGTCTGTCCTGCCACAGAAGCTTCCGCAATCGTCATTGCCCATGTCATATGGCTTCGCCGCCCGCCCATTGCCAGTTGATTCTTTTAGTTTAAAACAATTGATAGTAAAAACAAAAAAGCTGAAAACAACGACCGTTTCTAGAAAAGGCGAGGTTATCAACTCGCTAATAACGTGACTGACTAAGCCGGGTCAGCGTAGCTGGAAATTCCTTCTCCCACCACTGGGCGGCCTTCGTGGCAGGGATGGCATGCCACCAAGCTGGATTCTTAGAGGCCTACAGCCTACAACTCTAGAATCTACCCAACCACCGGCAACCATTTTCCCCAGTGTTAGAAATTGTTAACCTTCCTTTTACACCTGCTTCACAAATCTAATCCCTCGGTTGACTCGTGTGTTTATATCTGAAACTTTGCTTCCACTAATTATCCATATGTGATAATAACCATTTCTCTTTTTTTTTTTTTTTAATTCAATTATCCAAAGTCCAAACAAAATTCTTTTTTTTTTTGTTTTGATATTTCCTCCATTATTTTCCTCGTTCTTTTTATATTTCTTCCCCTTCAGTTAAATACAGTCAGGTATTAATTTATGGCCTACCATACTTATTTTATTTTAATTGTTTCACGTAAAGGGTGCTATCCTTCTAAAAGATTGGGTTAAAATTCCCAATGCCTACAGGAAAACGAAAAAGCTAATAAACTTGTTACATGTTGGTTTTTTGTTTAGTAAAAGTTGTAAGTTTTGATCTCTTTTTATTTTATAATTATCATTAATAAAAATATGAATATTTTTTAAACTTTGAGTAAAGTAGTTTTTATTTATATATATTTTATAAAACTCAATTAATTAAAATATTTGAAATAGCAAGAGTCAAAAGTTTACAAATTTTTATATTAAAAAAATGAACATATGATAATTTTATTGAAAGAGAGTGAGGTATACGAGAAGTAGACTCCGTAAAACTAAAAGTAATAATTGTTTAGATTAGATAGGATTTGATTTAATTTTTTTAATAATATATAATATTATAAATTTTTAAATTTAATTTAAATTTAAATTTTTTAAAAATAATTATATTTGAATTAAATTTTATTAGTTTAATTTATTAATTTTTAAATTTAATTTTTAATTTTATATATTATTTTATATAATATATTTAAATAAATTTAAAATAATTATTTTTATTTTGTAAAAATTTAAAAAATATATAAAAATATATAATTTAATCCAATTTTTTTAAATTTTCACTTTTCAATTTGATTTTAATATACATATTTAATATCTAATTTAATTCAAATTAAATAAAAAACTAATCCAAATACTATAATTTTGAATCAACTTTCAATTTTTTTGATTTTTTTTTCTCCCGCATAAAACAAAAGAGAGTGTATATATATATATTACTTGGTTGCGGTCTTGCGGAGCGGAATAGGTTAAATATATAGACAGGGGCCAGGCTGATTGGGTTCTTACAATCAAACCTCGATATCATCGGTGCAGGTACGTCAACTCGGCCCAACTTGTATCGAAAATAAAGAACCTACTTGGTTGCGGTCTTGCGGAGCGGAATAGGTTAAATATATAGACAGGGGCCAGGCTGATTGGGTTCTTACAATCAAGCCTCGATATCATCGGTGCAGGTACGTTAACTCCGCCCAACTTGTATCGAAAATAAAGAACCTAAGATGCCAGATGTGCATCCCTTGAATTAGCCTTAGGCCTTAGCCATTTAGCCTATTAGTTAAAATGCAATAGGTGGGGGGCTTTCTTTTTTTTTTTTAAATGTACAAGAGGAAAGTAGGACTTCATGTGCTTGATTCGTTGCTAGTACTGTCAAAGGTTCCATTTTAGAATTTAAGATTATCTTAACATTGATTCACTGTTTTTTGCATGTGATATTGAGTTACATAATGGAAGGTAATTTTTTTTATCTCATAAATCTTATCTCACTAATTTTAAGATTATTAAATGCCGAAGATATTTACCCCTAAATTTTAAATTTCTATCCGAATTCTGGCCTTATTTTGGTTTTTTGAACCAAATTCAATTGATGGATAAAAATAATCAAGCAGTAAAAATTAAAATTTTAAAGATAATGAGACTATATTTTATGTTGCATTTATGAATACTTTATTTTTTTTAACGCTTACGAAATCACAATTATCTATGAAATAAAATTCATAAATGTTTCAAAGCTTTTTTTTTTAAGATATGTTGAAACAAAGAAAAGAATCCACTACAGTTGTCGAAGTGGAGAAGGGAAAAAAACAAGAATGGAGAAAAACCATCCCAACTTGCTCTAAAGAAGAAAATCTAAGGGTACGCTTGGTTTTAAAATATAGAACCATTTTCTGTTTTTGTTTTCCTGGAAAATAGAAAATATAAGTAAAAATGTATTCGGTAGTTAAAAATGAAAATAATTTTTAGAAAATGAAAATAAGTCCAATTAAAGAAGAAAAAAAATAT